CAGTGAAAAAGGTAAAGGGCTTAAGTACAAATTGGTAGTTACAAAACAGTCATGGTTATATAGTCAATAATATTATAATAACTGCATGTGGTATCAGGTGGATACTGCCAATACTGGGGGCGGTGGACACTTTGTAAAGTATATGATTGTCTAACCACTAAGCTGTACACCTGAAACAAATACAAAATAACATTGACTATAAACTATAATTGAAAAATAATTTTAAAAAGAAAAAGAATGTCAATAGTAACTCCAAAAATGGAAAAGCAAAGAGAAAAACACCGGGAATAAGGGTTTGGAACAAAATACCTGAGAACTATTAAAAGGTGTGACATACATTTAATGAGAATATCAGGAAGAGGGAAAGGATATATTTGAAGCAACAGTGACTGAGAATTTCAGTCAAGTTAATATGACACCAAACCACAGATCCAGAAAAATACAACACCTAGGCAGATTACATACAAACTGCAGAAAGTTTTTTAAAATTTTGAAAGAAGCCTATAGAGGAACAAAGATGAAAACTGCATTCAACTTCTCAAACTACGCAAGCAAGAGGAAAAAATCTCACCAAATTCACCAACCTAAAATTCTCTACCCTACAAAATTATTTTTCAAAAATAAAAAGATGTTACCAGGATGGTGACATAGGCCATTCTTGATTTTGCTCCCCCTCACAAGAACAATTAACAGTTATTCGTGGACAAGATATCACTAGGAGAATCCTAGAACTTGGGAGTGAGACTGAAACACCCTCCTGTACCACAGAGACCAAGACAGGTGGACTAGAAGGGTAAGAGGAATGGCTATAGGCTGTGTTGCCCCTCCACCAGGCCGTACTAAGAGGTCACCCCTAAGCCTCCAGTTCATCCAGTGGGAAGAGAGCTCAGGATGACATCCAGACCCCCAGCACGGTGGGTTGCTTTGTGGAAGCACCTACTTAGGTTTTGCCCCATGGAGATAGTAGGGTTATCTGTGGGACTCAACAACTGGGGATCTGAGTGAGACAGAGAAGGGAGTGGGGACTTTTAATAACCAACACTCAGATCTTGGCAATCTGAATTTTTTTTTTTTTTTATCCTCACCCGAGGACATTTTTTCATTTTTTGTTCAGGTAGAGCGGGAGGGAGAGAGGAAGAGAGCAAGAGAGAGAGACATCAACGTGAAAGGGACACTTCGAGTGGCTGCCACCCACACAACCAACCAGGGCCGGGGACAAACTGCAACCGAGGTACGCGCCCTTAGCGGGAACTGAACTCAGGTCTCTCTGGACCGCAGGCCGATGCTCTAACCTCTGAGCCAAACCAGCCAGGGAAGCAGTCTGAATTCTTAACTGCAGAGCCCAGCCAGCAGCTTTGCTCATCTGTGGGACCAAGTGACATTTCAGTCTGACCAGGGAATTTGGCAGGGTGCAGGTCTGCTGGCCCTGTAGCCTCATCTGCCCACAGCCAAGCAGAAGAGCTGAGTCATAGCCCCACCCACGGTGGAGTTTGTCCCCAGCCACACCTGACAGGAAGGGCTAGTGAGAACACCTGGAAGCTGAGTAACCTTGCAGCTCCAGCCAAGAGGCAGGTGGGCGGAAATGATCACCCCCAGAGCAAAGCCAGTGACCTGTTCAGCCAGGGAGCTTGGGGCACAGATGGCTTGAGTCAGGACTGTAAAGAACATTATAGACCTGAAGCTGTTTCTCCCACTGTGTGTAGGAGACTAATTTGTAGCCCCGTTATTGCTGAATAAAGTCTTGAGCCCACCTGACCAGGGAACCTTACCAGACTGAGCAAACGGGAAGCTGCAGAGCCCATTCAACAGCCTGCTTATTGCAGCACATGAACAAGGAGCACAGCCCCTGGCTTTTCCTGTCTGCAGAGCAAAACAGCTGGCCACATCTGACCAGGACATTCAAAGCACACTCTTGCCTGAGTCTGGGCCCCAGACAATGGGCCAGGTAGGCCCTAGGGCTGGTCCCACTGCCTCACCAGGGCAGGGAAGCTAATTCATAGCCCCACCAACTGCCGAGTATATACCCAGTCCCTCAGAACATGTCTCTGTTGTTAAACTGCATGTGACTGTAATCCAGTTTAAAGATGGGCAGAAGACCTGAATTGACAGTTTTCCAGGGAAGATATATGAAAGGCCAACAAATACATGAAAAGCTGCTCAACATCACTAATAATTAGGGAAATGTAAATCAAAACCACAGTGAGATACTACCTTATACCCATTAGATATCAAAACACTTATTAGAAAATAAGTGTTAGCAAGCATGTGGAATAAAGGGACCCTGTGCACTGTTGGTGGAAATGTAAAATGATGCAGCCACTGTAGAAGACAATATGGTAGTTCCTCAAAAAATTTAAAAAAGAATTACCACCCGGGCTGGTTTAGCTCAGTGGTTGGAGTGTCAGCCTGAGGACCAAAGAGTTGTGGGTTCAATTTCAGTCAAGGGAACATACCTTGGTTGTGGTTCGGTCCCCTGCCCTGGTCTGGGTCATGCAGGAGGCAACCAATCGATGTGTCTCTCTCACATAAATGTCTCTCTCTCTCTCTCTCTCTCTCTCTCTCTCTCTCTCTCTCTCTCTCTGTCTCTCTCTCTTCCCCTTCTCCCTTCCTTCCTCCCTCACTCTCCCTGTCCCACTCTATCTGAAGATAAATGGATAAGTATCCTCGGGTGAGGATTAAAAAAAAGAAGAATTACCATATGTTCTAGCAATTCTAGTTCTGGGTATATCCCCAAAAGAATTGAAAGCAAAGACTCAAAAAGATTTGTACACCCATGTTTACAACAGCATTATTCATAGTAGCCAAAAGGTGGAAGCAACCCAAGTGTTCCTTAACAGGTGAATGGATGCACAAAGTGTGATATAATTTTATTACATTATTCATTGTTAAAAAGGAAGGAAATTCTACAGCGTGGATGGACCTTTAGGACATTAAGCTCAGTGAAATGAGCCAGTCACAGATAGCTACGATTTCATGTATATGAAGTACCTAGAGTAGTCAAATTCATAGAGTGGGATAGTCATTGCCAGTGTTTGAGGGAGGAGGCATTGAAAGTTGTTATTTAATGGGCATAGAATTTCAGTTTGAGATTATGAAAATCCTGGAGACGGTTGGTAGTTTTGGTTTCACAACAATGTGAATGTACTTAATGCCACAGAATTGTACTATTTAAAAATGGTTAAACTGGCCCTGGCCGGTTTGGCTCAGCGGTTAGAGCGTCCGCCTGCGGTCCAGAGAGGCCCGGGTTCGGTTCCCGCTAAGGGCATGTACCTCGGTTGCAGTTTGTCCCCGGCCCTGGTTGGTCGTGCGGGTGGCAGCCACTCGATGTGTCCCTTCACGTCGATGTTTCCCTCTCTCTCTCTTCCTCTCTCTCCCTCCCACTCTGTCTGTACAAAAAATGGAAAAATGTTCTCGGATGAGGATTAAAAAAAAAGGTTAAACTGGTCAATTTTATGTTACATATTTTACTACAATTTTAAAAAAAAAGGAAGTGCACATACACATGTGAATGCTGGAAGTCCCCTCTTCACTTTTTCTGCCTGGTGAACTTGAACTTACCTTTATTGTTCAATTCCAATATCATATTCTTTGTGATCATTTCGTAGGTTGAATAATATTTCAGCTCTGCTCTAGAAAATGTTTCTTTTTAACTGTTATTTCCCACCCCCACACCTCACATACAAAAAATCCAACTATTTATTTTCAGTATTTGAATTCCACATAACAGGCCCTTCAAGTTACCTTAATTTTCGAGTTTGTTACAGCTGAAACCCCACTATAATGAGACTTACCAAATGGGGTCTCTCAGTGGCTGAGTCACTGGAAGTGTTCAGCTTTTGTAAACTTTAGGAAGCAGTTGTTTTCCATTCTCTGTGGAATTTCAGTGAAATGTAAACTCCAGTGGGTTTGTATTATCCCTTATCTAATTTTTTGGTTTAAAAATAAAAGCACCTGTCACGATTCAGGCAGAATGTGGGAACTTCGTGATTTACAGCTGCCCTTTAGAGAGAGCAGAGGAGGGGGACGGCTCCGCGTCAGCACCAGAGCGTTTGTGGTCCTCGGAGTGAACCGCATCGTGATGGAGTGGACTCGGACCCCCAGTGATGACACATTTGATCCCCGAGAGAACAGACTGGTGTGAGGGATGTTTGGGGAATTTTGTAGGTTGCAAGGTGTTGAGATATCTGAAATCTCAGGAGAATATACTCTACTAGGAACCTTTTTAAATGTACAGAACATTCCTATATGAATCATTCTTTTCACAGTCAAGACAGCGAGCCTTACTGGGTCTTTTCTATTTTATTCTAACAAAATTTTTTGTGTTGTCCACTTTCTCCTTACACAAAGTACATTACTATCTCAAGCATGGTTGATAGGGTGACCCCTATTTTCATGGCGGTTCAGAAAATAGTAGCTATTAGATGCCAAAGCACTGTGCATGGCACCCCATCTGACCCCACTGATAGCTTTACCTGGGGTTTTGATATTTGAGAATAACCTGGTTATTTGGCAGATATAGTTCAATGCTATTCATTAGACTTAATTTACAATTCTTGTTGTATCCTGTATGCTTGGCATTATGCTAGACCATGCGTAGACCAAAAATCAACATCAAAATCATGATCTCTGCCAAAGAGCTTCCACTCTTTGGAAGAAGACAAACATGAAGGCACAGTATTGAGTGGGGGAGCAGGGACTTTAGAGATTTTACAGTCCTCCTTACTGTCTCTTCCTTTAGTCACTAGATCTGTACTTTGGGTATTTATGTTAACTCTGAGTCTGTGACCTTGACTCAATACAGATTACTAATGTCAGTCTTACAAGATGCATGATCATTGATACCAGGCACATGGGAGATATTTACTAAATGGTGGCTGTTATTATCATGGTTGTTATTAAGGCTGCTAACCCATTGGAAAACACAATCGTTTATTACATTAAATAACGTTGTTCATTGAATATCGTGGTAGGTGCTCAGTCTTTGTGTTTTCTCCCTTTAGAGATGATGAAGAGAAAAAAAAGTCTCCATCAGAGGGTACTGATGAAAAGGCTAATGGAACACATCCAAAGACCATCAGTCGTATTGGGAGTACTACCAACCCATTCTTGGACATTCCTCATGACCCAAACGCTGCTGTGTACAAAAGTGGATTCTTGGCTCGGAAGATTCACGCAGATATGGATGGAAAGAAGAGTAAGCATCATTTGTTGTCATCTTTTATTTCATTTATTTCATTTTGAGGCTCAAAATTTAAAGTGAATTTATATGTCAATTTATAAAGTCAAAAATGAAGGAAAATTATATGATGTTGATCTAGAAAAATATCATTAAAGTTTGATAAAACCTGTGACCCTAAGTCAGAAGTCCACTGTGGCACCTGATCTTCTCCAAGCAGAATTACAGAACTTCAGAAATGGAAGACTTCTTGCAGATTGTTCATTTCTAACTTTTCTTCATTTATTCTTGCTTTCAACAAATAATTTTGAGTACCTGCTATGTGCTAGGCATAAAAAACATCTAGTAGTGAATAGGATGGACAAGTCCCTGTCTTCATGACATGTACATTCTGGTGGTTAACGGAAAGGCTGAACTTATAACACTTAGGCTAAGCAGTGGAGTAAAATCCCAGAGGCAAAGCTGGGAGGGAAAGAGTTGAGAGATCCAATCACATGTGGAAGAATTGGCCTTCGTGGAAGATGGACAGGTACGACGTAGGCGAACATGGCATAATTGGGAAGTAGAAGGAGTCTCATCTGACACCTCTGAAGTATAAGATGTGAATATATACTGACAGTGTTTGAGAATTGAGAGAAATGGAGTGTTTCTACGTTTTAGAATAACCTTTGAGGAGTGAAATCACAATGTGATGTAGTTGAACAGGCTCAGATATGCGGATATGTATGCTGAAATCAGTAGGCTGTGCCTCTAGGGCAGCAGTTCTCAACCTGTGGGTCATGACCCCTTTGGGGGTCGAACGACCCTTTCACAGGGGTCGCCTAAGACCATTGGAAAACACATATTTCCAATGGTCTTAGGAACCGAGACACCACTCCTATATCCGTCTCCAGGCAGGTCCGCCCACATGCAGATACATCCATATACAACACGAGGAACTGTATTAAAGGGTCGCAGCATTAGGCAGGTCGAGGACCACTGCTCTAGGGTGTCCCTGCCCACCTACAGACACCACACACAGTGCTGGGGTGGACAGTACCACTGCTTCCATCTGTGACTGAGCACTTTTTCTTAATATGCTAGCATATTCTATTAGGTTATAGTCAAGGGAAACATTGTAGCAGAGTGGCTTTGACACTGACTTACAGTGCTGCTCACGTTTCTTCATGTTTCCAAGTTCTTGAGCAGTACCCACTCTTCCTATGCATCCTATGCACTGGCCTACTAGACTACTTAATTTTCTCCAACAGCCTTGTATCAGGACACACCAAAGATGAAGAGTGGGCACTAGGACACTTGAACCATTTCTGTCTACGTTATTTGCCTGTCAGCTTGATTCTTTTTTTTTTTTTAATTTTTTATTTATTTTTTGTTACAGATATTTTACCTTTTTTACCCCATTGGCACCTCCCTCCCCACCCCAGCCCCGCCCCGTCCCCGGCTTCGTTGTCCATGTCCATTGGTCATGCATACATGCATATAAGTTCTGTGGTTTATCTCTTCCCACCTCCCCCACCCCCTCTTCTGAGGGATGTCAGTCTGTGCCCTACTTCCATGTTTCTGGGTCTACTGTATTCCTCAGACTGTTATGTTCATTATATTCCGTATATAAGTGAGATCATGTGGTATTTGTCTTTTTCTGCTTGGCTTATTTCACTTAGGATAATACTTTCCAGGTCCCTCCATGTCGTCTCAAAGGATAAGAGATCTTTCTTTCTTACCGCTTCAGCTTGATTCTTTGAAACGGAACTCTCTCACGTGGCTGGATGCACGACTCATAGCAGCACTGTAAAGCGTGTTCAGTTTTGTCACCAAAAGGATTCGTTTTCATCCCAGACTTCCACTTTAGCACATTCTGGGACAGGACTCTGATTTGTATGACTGAGGGGATGGAATAATGTGATTGCCAGGACCCACTTGGTTTTAATGCAAAAGGAAAGGTCCGTCAAGAAGGAGTACAGTCCCGTTCTCAGAGAAAGAGAGTTCTTGGTACACAAAGCAACAGACATGCATCTCTGTTCCCAGCCCGCACACACACCCTTTCTCCATATGTTGAGTTCAAACAGTGCCTTTGCCAAACATGGTACCACCTCTCATTTATAACCACAGATACAAATGTACTCATCTCTGTCCCCCATGCTGTGTCTAGCTGTAGCTTCCATCTCTGGGGCCAGAATTTGCCAGTTGGTGTCCATCCTCCTCAGGTGAGGATGTAGCTTTGCTCTTAGGCTAAGTAAAAAATACAGAAATAACTGACATACTTCATATGAAGTACTACAGGCAAACAGAAAACTGTGGTTTAAAATTCCAGTTCAAGAAAAGGAAAAAATGGAAGCAAAACAGTTACCACTGATTCCGGGAATGTTATTATATCCTGCTGGACCAGGAGAAAAGAGTTAACCCACTTGAGCATCTTTTCATTGATTCACCTCCCTACTTGTGGATCAAAGGGGGCTTTTCCACCTCTGCTTTTGAGAGAGGGGTATTGGAAGGAATCACGAAGTTTTGGCCACCTTTTTGTCGTTGTTGTCAATCCTCACTGCAGGATATTTTCCCATTGATTTTTTAGAGTCGAAGGGAAGGAGAGAGGGAGGGAGGGAGGGAGAGAGAGAGAGATGTGAGAGAGACACATCAATTGGTTGCCTCCCTGTATGACCCCAACTAGGGCCAGGGATTGAACCTGCAACCCAGGTATGTGTCTTTGACCTGAATCAAACCCACAACCCTTTGGTCAGTAGGCTGATTCTCTAATCACTGAGACAAACCAGCCAGGGCTCCGCTGTCTTTAACACTTCAGACTCTTCCTGTATATTCCCATTCCAATTTTTCATAGTTTTTTTTTTTTTTTTTTTTTTTTTTTTATGAATTTTTATTTATTTTTTTGTTACAGATATTTTACCTTTTTACCCCATTGGCACCCCCCACCCCACCCCCTCCACCCTGTCCCCGGCTTAGTTGTCCATGTCCATTGGTCATGCATACATGCACATAAGTTCTGTGGTTTTTCTCTTCCCACCCCCCCACCCCCCATCCCCTCTTCTGAGGGATGTCAGTCTGTGCCCCACTTCCATGTGTCTGGGTCTACTGTATTCCTCAGACTGTTATGTTCATTATATTCCGTATATAAGTGAGATCATGTGGTATTTGTCTTTTTCTGCTTGGCTTCTTTCACTTAGGATAATACTTTCCAGGTCCCTCCATGTCGTCTCAAAGGATAAGAGATCTTTCTTTCTTACCGCTGCATAGTACTCCATTGTGTATATGTACCACAGCTTTTTGATCCATTCGTCTACTGGTGGACACTTGGGCTGTTTCCAGATCTTAGCTATTGTAAATAGTGCTGCTATGAACATGGGGGTACATATATTCTTCCTGATTGGTGTTTCAGGCTTCTTAGGGTATATTCCCAGCAGTGGGATCACTGGGTCAAATGGAAGTTCAATTTTTAATTTTTTGAGGTAGCACCATATTGTTTTCCATAGCGGCTGCACCAGTCTGCATTCCCACCAGCAGTGTATTAGAGTTCCCATTTCTCCACACTCTCGCCAACACTTGTTGTTTGATGATTTGTTGATGGCGGCCATTCTGACAGGTGTGAGGTGATACCTCATTGTTGTTTTAATTTGCATCTCTCAGATGATTAGTGATGTTGAGCATTTCTTCATATGTCTCTTGGCCATTTGTATGTCCTGTTTGGAGAGGTGTCTATTCAGCTCCTCTGCCCATTTTTTAATTGGGTTCTTTGTCTTCCTTTTGTGGAGTTGTGTGAGCTCTCTGTATATATTGGAAATTAACCCCTTATCTGATACATCATTGGCAATGATGTTCTCCCATACAGTGGGTTGCCTTTCCATTTTGATGATCGTTTCTTTTGCTGTGCAGAAGCTTTTTAGTTTGATGTAGTCTCATGTGTTCATTTTCTCCTTTATTTCTGTTGCCTTAGGTGATGTATCAGTGAAAATTCTGCTCCGTATGATGTCCGAAATTTTGTTGCCTACATTTTCTTCTAGAATTTTTATGGATTCACGGGTCACATTTAAGTCTTTTATCCATTTTGAGTTTATTTTTGTGTATGGTGTAAGTTGATGGTCGAGTTTCATTTTTTTGCATGTAGCTGTCCAATTTTCCCAACACCATTTATTAAAGAGGCTGTCTTTACTCCACTGTATGCTCTTGCCACCTTTGTCAAATATTAATTGAGCGTATTGCCTTGGGTCCATTTCTGGGTTTTCAGTTCTGTTCCACTGGTCTATATGCCTGTTCTTGTGCCAGTACCAGGCTGTTTTGGTTACAGTCGCTTTGTAGTATAACCTGATATCTGGTAATGTGATCCCTCCAACTTTGTTCTTCTTTTTCAAGATTGCTGTGGCTATTCGGGGTCTTTTTTGGTTCCATATGAACTTTTGAAGTATTTGTTCTAGTTCTATGAAATATGTCGTTGGTATTTTGATGGGGATTGCATTGAATCTATAGATTGCTTTGGGTAGTATGGACATTTTAATTATGTTAATTCTTCCAATCCATGAACAGGGTATGTTCTTCCACTTTTTTATATCTTCCTCTATTTCTTTTTTCAATGACCTGTAGTTTTCTGCAAATAGGTCCTTTACTTCTTTGGTTAAGTTTATTCCTAGGTATCGTAATTTTTTTGGAGCGATGGTAAATGGGATTGTTTTTTCAGTTTCTCTTTCTGTGAGTTCATCATTGATGTACAAGAATGCCGTCGATTTCTTGACGTTAATTTTGTATCCTGCTACTTTGCCAAATTCATTTATTAAGTCTAATAGATTTTTGATGGAGTCTTTAGGGTTTTCTATGTACAATATCATGTCATCTGCAAATAATGACAGTTTCACTTCCTCCTTTCCAATTTGGATCCCTTTTATTTTTTCTTCATGTCTGATTGCTGTGGCTAAGACTTCCAGTACAATGTTAAACAAGAGTGGCGAAAGTGGACATCCCTGTCTTGTTCCTGTTCTTAATGGAAATGTTTTTAGTTTCTGTCCATTGAGTATGAT